AGTCAATATAATTTACAAAGCAATAATTTGGGACAGCTGAATGCACCAAATTGACTTCTGAGTGTCTCTTCAAGCTTCTAAATTGACTTTGTCTTTAATAAACTTCAGGTCTGAATATCTGTCTGTTATTCTGTAGAATGAGCAGGTAGACTATAGTTTTAGTGACTATTACTTATCAGAACAATATCCACAATAAATAAATTTTAAAAGTTTAAGAATAATTTTAGACATTTTGTAGCATTTATTGGTTTATCAATGGCCTTTGATTCATATACAGGAACTGCCAATTAGACACGCCATCTGATTTTCATCTAGCCTTTGAAAGTTCCACTACAGCATTTGTCAATGTACCACATCAAAAATCACAGTGGGCAAAGCAAATTCCATTTGTAAGTAGCATGAGAAAAGGCTTCCTCTTTTTAAATGCATTTCTAATAATTTTCTGTGGTTCTAAGATAAACCGGATGCTTCTTACAAAATTCAGTACTTCCTAATATCACACAGACTTAACATTGTCTTAGGATTCAGGAGGACTTCATAGAGGAGGCGATACTTAAAGAGTGACTTCATCAGGCAGATAAGGGGTCCATGGGCACTAAGCAGAAGCAACACAAAACTATTTATATGGAGATGAGAGAAACGATGGCACTTGGGACACTCTCAGTGATGCCTTTGAATCCAATATAGCCCTTAGTTCTAGTCTCAAACTCAACCTTGGAAGATCTCACCCTCCAGCTTTCATTTCCTAAATAAAAATGCAATTGTCACTCACTTTTTAGCTCATATAATTGGTTTGGTTTTCTTTGATAATTGCTTTATTATGTCCCAAACTCTTTCCATTTCTCTGTAAGCTCCCTGAGTTTGGTTCCTTTGCCATCAGACAAGCTCCTTACTTTTGCTGTCTTGGAGACAACAGCTAACGTGGAGGTGTGCCAGGATTTTAATCTAGCCTCTTCCCAAAATTGGCACTGCCTTATTGGGTTTTCTTCTGTGGGGTCTCACGCAGGCAAGTGACACCAGTTTTGGACTGTCCCAGGCTCCTAGCCCAAGTCTTGTTCCTCTTGTATGACTGGGATGGAGTTTCAGTATCCAGAAAGTAAAACAGGAATGGTAGGAAAAAGCCTGACTGCTGAGATCCTGGCTTGTTCAGTGAAGGTACCTGGAGACTGTCCATAGTGATGGTGAGCACCTGGAGGAATATAAGTAGCAGGTCAAAAAAAATCAATATCCATTTTAGAAAGATGACGTTGGTGGTCTGATAGAAAATGAGGTGGGGAGAATAGTAAGGAAATTGTGTCAGTACTCAAATGAAAATTGAGCAGTAATAGCAAAAAGGAGGGAAAAAAAGATTCAAGAGATTTAAAAGTTAAATGATGAAAATTGTTGGCTTGATTTAAAAGTAAAGGAATGGGAAAGAGAGAGCAGTTCATGGTACTTGGAAGATGAAGGTGCCGTATGTCTTGTAACCATGAGTGTAGAAGGATCATCAGGTTTAAAGAAGGTTTAATAAAACAATAATAGACTTAGCATATATTGAATTTGAGACTCCTGTGAGTTCAGGTGTAGTAGCCCAGTAGACTGTTGCAAGTATAAGAGAAAATGCTAAAGATAAAATCATTGTCACTCAATATTCCACCACTCCTGTGGTGGAATATTGTTCAGCCCTAATGATTATAATTGCTATTGCTAAGTAGAAACATGGAAACATGAAAAAAAGGTTACAAAATTGTATGTATTGTAGGACTTAAACTGTGTAAAATGCATTTTTAAATGTACAAAAGTGAGAAGGGGGATAGAAAAGTTATATATGACAGAGTTGTTGAGATGGTGGGTTCTTTAATTGTTCATTTTTTGCCCCTTTTTAAAAAGAATTTGCAAAGTCATGACTTTGTTAATTTTTGGAAAATTCCTCCTTCTGTTGTAAGAGTTTTATAATATGTTAAAAATTACAGAGACTTTTGGGGTGTGGGTTTAAAGAAATTAACATTATTTGTAAGTTTTCATGTGAAAGATTACTATACTATAAATAATATTATTTTTCCTATCTTTAAAAAAGTGATGCTTTCATAGTGAGTTTTAATGTTTCCTTCTAAATATTTATATTCGTATATGGACTCTCCATCGTTTTGAAGATCACAGGAGCTGGGGAAATCCTGGAAACTTGCAGAAGTTCAGCCCTGGCTTCTCTAAGAGAAGCACTTCTGAAGACAGGGAAGGTCCAAGTGGTTGTATTCGCTGAGCTTAGGGTTTTAGAGTCTACCCTGTAAGAAGTGGGAGTTACTGTAAGAGTTTTAGCAAAGGAAGTAATGTGATTAGAAGGGTTATTCTGGGTGCAGTCTGGTGAATAATTGGGAATAAGGAGGACTGCAGAGAAAGGGGTAGAGAGGGAAGATTACACGAAGAGGAATCAGCAGTACTCAGTGGCTAAGTGTAGAAGTTGAAGGAAAAGAAGAAGAGTCAAGGATGATCCCTGGGTTTCTTGGTTGGGAAACGGGGCTCCCTTTTCCTGGATGAAACCGGAGAAGAAGGCATTGGTGGGCAGATGGCAAGTTCAGCTGTGGTGTGTTGAATTGGAGGTGGCTGTGGGATACCCAAGTGATGGGAAATGTCTAGTGGGTGGGGCTACACATATGTACCAGTCTGGAGCTTGGATGAGAGATCTGGGCTAAGATTTATAGCTCTAAACTGGATAGTGAAGGGTAAGTCTGTACTGCTCTGTATCTGGGACATGTAAGATGCAGATGTGAATTAATGGAGTCGTGGATTCTTTGAAATTCGAGACCCCATCAGGGGCCATCTTGTAGCAGGCTGTTTGTATCATTGAAAGCTCTAAAAGGCTCACTACCACTGATGTAGTCTATCAGATTACCTATGGTCAGGTGAGATTTACCAAATGGCACAGGTTACATTCAGAATCCTGGGCTTTGGAGTTCTTGCCAGTGGTCTTCCTGCTTATACCACCAAAAGGGTGAATGCGGAAGAGAGAACTGAATGAAGAAAAATACAAAAGAGGAATCTGGCTCAGCTGGGACAAGAAGCAAGAGTTTGTCAGTAAGCAATAGTAAATAAAGCGACCATCCCTGACGTTCACTCTGAGCCAACACACCAGACTAATCTCTGAGGTCCTGTCATTGTGGCCAGGGGCAAGGCTTCTAGAATAACACTCCTAAAAGGCAATCAAATTTTCATCCATTGGCCACCATTTTGGGACCCATATGTGCCCCCGTTCCTTAGGTTAGTGGTCATGTTTCCTTTATGTGAGTGTTATGAAAGGCTGTTCTGTTCTGGGAAAAGTTTTGTCACATGTATAAGTCAAAAGCCATGACTTCTATTGGTCTGTGACCAGGGAAAAATCAAGGATTTTCAAAGAGAAAGATGCAATTGTGTAATAGTTTTCTCACTGCTATAATATTTCAGGGCACCCTAACTGTAATGTCATTTCCATGCTTCTAAATTGTTTTCATCGCAGATGAAATGAAATGAAGCTGTTAATGACAAGCCGGATGGGAAATGCATCTGGAAGCTCTGTGAAGTATGAGGCAGGTTGCCCTCTACTCGTGAGCGAGACACCTTGCTTTTATTTTGCCCTGTGCTTCAAAGTGAAATGGCAAATAGCATTAGCAGACCAGGCCAGGAGGGCTTAAGGCAACTATGTAGTGAATTTGGTGTTTCTTCGCTGTTAGACGCATTTTTGTCAAATGCCCTTGATCTGTTAAAATATCAGAGGAAGAATTTTTTGGATTCAGATAGCACTAACTCTCCCAGGTTAGTGGGTGGTTCATGGGAGTATATTGTGTGTTAAAGAAAATCAGCCATTTCTTAAGGTTGACCTACTTGAAGCCTGGGTAAAGGTTAGGGAGACAGGCTTCATTAGGCAGAAGGGTGTTTTATATTATCAAGGCAGGCCTTTCCCAAGGCAGTTTGTCCTTTTGCCTGGGGGAAGATGAGTTTTTAAAATGACTTAACTAACTTCTTTTTTGGCATGCTTTTGCATTTGGTTCATTTCCAGGTACCAGAAAGAATGTAAATATGGAATGAATCAACTTTTTCCACATTTTTCTCTAGCAGTTCTTTTATGAAGACCAGATTTTCCATAGAGGAAATTAAAAAGTACATAAAACTGAGAAACTGTGGTGTTGTTGAGAATGGCCTCATTTTCCACGTCACTTTGTAACTGGCAGTGCACACTGTATTCAAATGGCATTAATATAAAGTACAGAGTTTGTTTCAATTAGCTTCATTTTTCCTCGAGATGAGGAATTATCATAAATCCCTGAAATAACAGTTGACTCACAGAAATGCTTGTGTCATTGCACTGGGAAGTTTTTATGGCTTTTTAAAAAACTATACCTAGTTATAAAAATGATTAAACTCTGATTTAATGCATTTGATATGGGCCTTTTGCCTAAATCAGGAATGGAGAGAGAAGGCCAAAGGTATAATTCAGACCCAAAGCAGATAAGTTATTCTTTTGCAGTAAATTTGGGCACAATGATTTTTTTCCATTTTAGAGCATTTTTCTACATGAAACTCAAGAATTTTCATTAACATTCGGTTCAGATTTTTTTCCCTTGGATGCCATTCTTTTGAATGATTTGAAAATATTCTTCTGGTGCATCTGTAAACATCTGAAATTTTGATATTTGGTAAAAGACAATTGATACGGACAGCTCAAAAAGCCAGAACTTTATGCAAAGCGGTATCTGGATTGCAATCTAAATGAAAACCGCATGTCAAACAGATGCCATAAATATGAATTCAGACAAATGCCCATTGATAGTTTTCTGTGGCGCATCTTAGATGGTTCAGCGACTTACAGATCTTGTGAAGTGCAGCCTGTTTGGTATGCTGAAGGCAAGTTGAAGCTCCTTTCCTTTCTGTTGTGACACTACAAGTCTAACCTTTATTGTCAGGGTCTCAGCTGAATTTTCTAACAGCAGATGAGTGGGAATTCATGGAAATAGCATGTGTTTCACCAGTTTCCTTTATTTCTCCCTCAGGACAAGCAGCTGTCAGGTCAGCCCCCCCATTGCAGAGCTTGAAGCCATCAAGAGCAGGGATATATTTGCCTTGTTCTAAGGGCAAGTTTTCAGCCGACTGGGGAGATCACATAAATACCTTCAGGCCAGCGTGTCTGAGTCATCAGTGAGTGACCTTCTGACAGGCAGAAACCACAAAATGGGACTTATGGAGCCAGCGAAGCGGGCTGGCCAGCTCTGGTTCAGCCGAAGCAATCGACAGGAAGGGAAGAATTCGTTCATGTTTGCACTTCTACATGGTAGGAAACTAATTCCAGAAAGTTAATAGTAGCATAAAAATGTATCCGTATAACTTTTACAACCCTGTTACTTCCAGTGCTTTGCAAATGAGATCTGGAGTCTTTGATAGAATTTTGTTTTTTATCCTAAATTCTTAGCAATTAAAGCTCGATAGTTTTGGAGAGGGGACTTGACTTCTTAAGATATGCACTTCATACCTTCTCATTAGCAGACCTCACTTGAGGGGGTAGGTGGCCGTTATGCTACTAACCTACTTTATTGCCCTAGGCCACAGGATGTGAACTTCCTGGGATGAAGAGGGAAGAAGATGCTTCTCTGTTTCCAGGTATATATCATCCTTATGGGGAGACCGAGGGCTTATTTACTTGGTATGTTTTAAGAACATCGATCCTTTTCTGCTTTGCCTCAATTATAACCTTTTACACTTATTGAATGGTAGGTCATTTGCCTAGATCACTTTATGCACTTGAAATAACCCTATGAAACTGGTATTAACTGATGAAATCAAAGCCGGTGGGATAATCTAACTCGCCAAAACCCATGCTAAATGTGCTAAGGTTTGAGTGTTGGAAACTTAATCCCCAGATTCACATGTAAATGGAATTTGGGTGGAGCTTTTCCTTGGTAATTAGGATTAGATGAGGTCATGAGTGTTGGCTGCACGGTGACTTCAGTGGCTGTATAAGAAGAGGAAGAAAGAATGCGCTGGCGGGCCTGCTTTGCCTCACTAATAATGCCCTCAGCCACACTGTGATGCAGTGGAAGCCCCTGTTTGCACGCAGGAGCGGATGCTGGTGCCTGTGCTCGTGGGCTTTCCAGCCTCCAAAGCCATGAGTCAAATAAACCTTTGTTCTTCATAAATTCCCAGTATGTGTTACTCAGTTATAGCAGCAGGAAATGGGCTAAGACAGAAGTAAGTGCACAATTTGGATCTGCCCATCTGACCACAGAGCCTTCACTTACAGAGGCATGAAAAATGTGCAAACTGGCTGAGGGATGGACTAATTTGGTTTTTATACCACAGGTCTGACGGGACCATGGAACGACCATATTTGTTACATTTATGTGCACATACACTGTATATATTGAAGTCCATTGGCCTTTAAGTTTTTGGTGTTTCATTCATTTATCCAATAAACACTTATTAAAAGCCTCTGTGAGTTGAATATTCCATGAAGTGGTAAGGGTATGGCTGTGAACAAAACAAAACATACTTCTTGCCTGTAAGAGACTCACAGGTGAGCATCGTCTGTACTGCAGGACAGAAGGCCCCAGGTCAGGACCTCTGCTCTGAGGAGTCAACAGGCTTCATAGAGTAGGAGGCAGCTGAGTTGGAGCTTTCAGGATGTTTGAGAGTCTGCTGCTGTTCAGGGAAGGAAAAAACATTTTAAATAAGAGACAACTTAGAACTACACATCTCTGTTTACCGGTTTGGCATCTTCCTTCCCCAGTTTACTCCCCTTACCCACCACTGCCCACTTGGTAGATGGAATCTATCATAGACTTCCTGCTTTGGTTTTAGATGTCATTTTATCTGAGAAGACTTACTCTCTTAATATTACTCAGATGATCAGCATAGTATTCAGTATCCTCCACTGTCCTAATATTCATGACATTATATTTTAACTCCTTTTTACCTGTCTATTCATTTAGATACTAGGCCTCTTAGTGCCCAGGACCATCTTAAAAACCAGCACACAGAATGGAGTAAATGCATGGCAGCTGAGCGCGTGATATGGGAAGGAGATGAAGATGAACAGCTCATGAAGTGCAGTGTGGCAAACAGGGGCAAACTCAATGGACATTTCCAGCTCCTTCTCTTTTGCCACTTCCACTTTAAGCGCTGTGGAAGTGAAATGTTCATGTCTCTAGACTCTTGCTGTAAGAGGTGGCCATATAAGGAGTTCTGGTCGATGAGTCCTAGCAAAGGTCTGCCGGGAGAGCTTTGGGAAAACATTCATTTTCCTGACGCAAGGGGGCATTGTGTTTAGCATGGTGCCTCATGGTTCTGTACTACACAAGAAAGTCATGGCTCAGGGGAGATGCAATCGTTACTTGGAATCATGGAAGAAAAGCCAAGAAAATCATAGACTTGTTTCTTGATATTACTGAGCTGCCAGGCCAGTAAAAAACCACCTACCTCGAGACTTCACTTTATATTAGAAAAATAATCTTGTGGTTTAGTTGTCATTACTTGTAGACAAAGGAATTCCTAATCATAATAGTCCTTAATAACAAAAATAGCTATAGTTGTTGAGCACTTACTGGCTGAAGTTACAGTTTCAAATGTTTCACCTGTACATGCCTCAATTAATCCGCACAATAACTCTATGTGGAAGGGCAAACATCATCATCATCATCTAATGGAAGAGAAATAAGTATATTAACTCATTCAAATAAGAGCCAACATGTGTCTGAACTACATTGGATTCCCACACAACTGTAAGATAACATAACAAATCTACTCTGTCTATGCCACTGAGTTTAAAGTAGCAATAGTAAACTCATAAAAGCAGCATTAAAAGATTTTCCTCAGAGCTGGGAATATCAGATTTATTGTCTTTGTTAGATATCTGCCCTGGCAGGGTGAAGTTTAGATACTGAGTCGCATGCCTAAAGGTAGAAAGATGAATTAGGAGTTGTGGCCAGGACAAAAGGACCAGAAGATCAAGATCCACCCTGAGGCAGAGGATGTGGATTTGCTCACTTATTTTTCAAAGCATTTGTACAACAAATGTTGTGAACTTGACAAAAAGGACTTAGAGATAAATAAGCTAAAAATTTTATTGTAAAGAGGAGAGACTTGTTGACACTAAGTATCTGAGTAAGTGGAAGAAGGGACAGATGTTGGCCTGAGGAATGGGAAGGATGGAGAGGATGCATTGGTAGGGAGAGCATCACCCTGTTTCAGGTGTTGCGGAACAATGTCTGTGATGATGATTGTGATGGTGATGGCGGTTGTGGTGGTGATGGCAGTTGTGGTGGTGATAGTGGTTGTGGTGGTGATGGCGGTTGTGGTGGTGATGGCGGTTGTGGTGGTGATAGTGGTTGTGATGGTGATGGCGGTTGTGGTGGTGATGGCGGTTGTGGTGGTGATGGTGGTGATGGCAGTAGTGATGGGAGTGGGGTATTTGTGTGCTGATAGAAGGATATACAGGCACCTTGACTTGTTGGCTGTTCTGTTTCTTAGTGGAGAGGAGATGAAATTGTATGAAAGTGCATGGGGTAGAATTTCAAAATATCCCTGTGCAGAACAGAAGGCAGTGAGCCTAATGGGTTAAACCTTGCCCTCTTTTTGGCATGAGTTTTCTGTTATATATGTCTTCCATTCACCAAATATTCAATAACTTAGAAGTAGGAGTAGTGATGAGCTTATTAGGGAGTACGTTTGGAAGAGGGAAGAGAATGACGTGCTTCTACTTCCCCTTTTAGTGGAGTAGTTTTTAGGGACATAAGGAAAGACCATCTTATTTTGACAGAGCCTAATTTTATGAGCTCTCGAGAAGCACATACATCCTACAAATCTCCTTCATTCAGTTCAGTAATAGCTCCTCTCATGATCACAGCTAGATCATTCCTTCAAGTAGAGGTTATTGGCTTCTGTTAATACAACTAGTTCAGGACATTCGGCACACCAAATAATGCCTACCTTTGTAGGAATGAGTCAGCCCCTTCCCTGCCCAAAAATATAACAGGAGAAGGAATTGGGGTGACATGGTAGATGGATGGGTCTTTCTGTGGGATAGAAGAGTGAGTTGCTGGAGCTCTGAAGGAAATAGATACTTAGTTTTCTCTGACCAGCTTGTAGGTTTCCTAAGAGAAAGCCTGAAACTAGGTGAGGGTCAGAGGGTGTCAAGACTTCATTTTATGTAAGGAACTCGGGCATTCTGTCCTCTGTTATGCTATTCTTATACTTTGAAGTATGTTTGCCCATATTCTTGTGATGAGAAAAGATCAGAAAACTTGGGAGAGACAGAGAAGACGTATTCTCCATGGGCCTGGAAGAAGATATCTCTGGCAATTGCTAGCAATGGAGAAAAGCAATGAGCAGAACCAAGACAAAGTGGGGGAGATGATAAGATGCAATATTCAATCTAAGAGTTCCTTGAGTGCTGGTAAACCTCTTTGGGAGGAATACCCTAAAAAGAATGCACAGCTTGCTAGGTTTGGAGTTCTGTTTAATATCAAAGGAAACCTTTCTCATCTTTAAAAAAATGTATAAAGAGAGCCCGTAATCCCCAGTGTCTCAGATTTATGCTTTCCAAATGTGGACATCTATTTCTCCATGTGCTCGATATCTTTTTAATGGGCTACAAATATTTGAAATGTGTAAACACTATGGGCGGATGAGCATGTAAGTGTGGATGGATGGAGCTGGTTCAGGAGAAGGAGGACGCCATTATGGAAGAGGAGAACAGGAGATGAAAAGTCCCAGGAGTCTAAACTGCTGGACTGAGCAAAGAGTAGGCAAAGTGGAAACAAGCTCATATTTGAACTTTCAAAAGTGACCAGGGCAAAAAGCATGCAGCGTTTCTCATTATCACAGGTGTACTGGGTTTGCATTTTATCTTTTCTCTGGGAAGAGGGGAACTGTATTGTTCTTCCTTTTGCATTGATCCACTTTCCAGGGACACTGGAGCCAAGTATGTCTTGGACACGCCTCTAGTGATTCTGAGAGTCTTCCCAACTTCCACCCCAATCCTTCCCTGAGGAGAATTCATAGGTTCAAAGCCCAATACTGTCATGATCAAAAAAGATTACTCATTCTTCACAGTGTAATGTACTGCCAGTCAAAGCCAACTCTGGAATCTTCTCTGTGGTTTCTTGCTGGGCACCCTTGATCAGATTCATCTCCATACGTTTTTCTATGTTACACAGGTGCTGAAAGGGAAAAGGGTATATTGTACCATGATTTGGCTAAAATTAAATGGGCTATTGATATAGGTGAATAAATTGTACATAGAGAGTCCTCAATAAATGTCAATTCCTCTGTGCATGAGAGCAGTGGATAATGAATTGTTTCCTGATTTTCATAATGCTCATTTAGGTTTTTGTGGATTTACAAGGTAATTAATACTGGAATATAAGGTAATTTAAGGTAATTTATACTGGAATGCAAGCTCGTGAGTCTCAGAAGTGAAACTGTTGTTAGTTTTTGGTCACACCCCCCTTGATAAGTGGCAGGATGGCACAGTGGTGAGATTGTGGTCCTTGGAACCAGGCTGACTAGATTTGAATTGCATGACCTTGGTCAGACTCTGTTATGGTTTGTGTCTGGGTGTCCCCCAAAAGCCTCATGCGGCCATGGGGCAGGCTTTTAGAGTTTGATTGATTATAGGTATGAGAGCTACACCTGCCCTGGGGTGGATAGTTTGCATGTATAAGGGAGAGGAAGAGGCTGCTTGCAGCCATCCCTCCCTTTTGTGCTTGTTGCTTTTGCTGTGTTCTGCTGCCATGAGCTGTAGCCCTCTGCCATGTGCCACTCTGCCTTGTAACCTGCCAAGTATGGACTGAAACCTCCACAAACTGTAAGCGAAATAAACCTTTCCTTCCTTAATTTGGGGTGTCAAGTATTTTGTCCCAGCAATGAGAGAAAAGTAACCAAGACAGACTCTTAACTTCTTATTGCCTCAGTTTCCTGATTAGAAAGTAGGAAGGACTGTTCTGAGGATTAAATGAGCTAATATATGCAAAGCATGCTGATCAGCGCTTGGGATCATGTAAGGGTTATGACTATGATTATTGCTAATGTTTTTATTTTTTGGTCAGTTACATGGAAAACATTTAAGATAATCTTTAATCAATATTATCTATTGTTATTATTGTATGTTCTATAAAATATGGTCCAAGTTTTCTGATCCATAAATCTGAATTTCTTGAAAATAATCCCAGACTCCAAACAATCTCTAAGACCAGAACTAGAAAGTGTTAGTAATGACTAAAGTAGCAACAAAAGTCGAAGAAGATGGTGGCCAAGCTGGCTGGATTTGAAGGCCTTGACTCAGCCTCGGTGAAGAGCAGGAAGTTGTCTGTTTCTTGCAAACCATGAGCCACACTTATAAACTTTTGGCCCGTAGACCTAACTTAATCACAGGCACATTATGTTTGCCCAGCCCAGAGAATAAAAAGAAATGAATTGTTTGCTAATATTTACAATTTGAGCTATTTTACCTAGTCTTATTTCTGCTTTTGAAACAATTGGAGGATCCATAGGTCTGGTTTCTGTCTCCTAGAGGAGGCCATCTGCTTTAATTGTACAGAACTGTCCATTTTATTCTTTTTTTTCCTCCAGTACCGGGATTCGAACTCATGACCTTGTGCTTGCCAGGCAGGCACTGTGCCGCTCAGCTAAATCCCCAACCCCCAAGAACTGTCCATCTTAGACTGATCATTTGCTTTTCATTTTTCCACCATCCTTACCACTCCATATTATATCTGGCCTACTTCACTCATTAATGTTCTTGCTTAACCCACATAGGCCTCTGAATTTGGAATTTTTACTGTATATTGATATAAAAGAACTGTTGCTGTGATGCAAAGCATGTGGTACATGTAATCTGGAAAAAGACACAATTCATTTTACACAAACTGTTATCAGCACCTTTGAGTACAGTCAGTTTCTACATCTCAGGTCTGTCACCTCGATGTCTGACGCAGCAGTCACTACCCGAAAATCTTCACCATAGATTGAAAATCATTAAGAAATGGTACCCAGATTAGTATGACTTTTCGAGAGTTATACAAATTATACTTAAATGCAATAGTCTTGATAATTATAGGTTTTTAATATTATAATGCTGGAAACAAAGAATTTCCTTGGAAACCAGAGGGAAAAAACCTAAATGTTTGGCAACCAACTGTAGGGATATTCTTAATAAAATTATACACTTAAACATATAGACACCGAGTTTCCATTTCTGGAATGAAAAGCAGGGAGTCTAAAGAGAAATGTGGCTGATATTTGGTACACACAGCAGGTTGAGGAATGTATATATATATATATTTTGAGGCAGGGTTTCTCTATGCAGTTCAGGCTGGTCTTGAGCTCACTTTGTAGCCCAAGCTGGTCTCGAACTCGTGATCATCCGCCTGCCTCAGCCTCCCGAGTGCTGAGATTACAGGCATGCACCACCACGTCTGGCAGGGAATATATTTTAAATCTTAAACGTAGCTGTGTTGACTCAGGCCAAACCATCCCATTGGACCTGGATCCCCCTTTTGAACCAAAGCATGAAATAAAAGTATTTCTATCCCTCGAACTACAATGCTGTGTAGGAGATGTTCTATCATTTAGATTAGTCAGGGTCCCAGAAACTTGTACCAAATGCTCCTAGGTGATAGACGAGTTTCCAAAAGCAGGTAATGTTTAATCGGTATCTGAATGAAATGTTTCTTCTTCGCTTGCCAACAAGGTGGAAGATTCAGGAACTCCATGTTTCCTAGAGGCTTTCTGGACCAAGCGGCACATCCTTGTCAGAGTGTATAGCTCAACAACGCATCGTGTAATGCAAATGGCAAGGCAGACCTCTTTATCAGCAGAGAGGTATGCTAATGTAACTGTCACATTAAATATTTGCTGCTGTGGCTCAGTTAATGACTGTCATAAAAGTGTGGCAATATCTGGCATTTTAAGTGTTTGTGGTACCTAATGTACAGCTTGCTATTGTAAATAGGCCACACATTTAGAACTAATTACATGCAAGCTATGATAGCAGGTTTATTTTTTACAACTATCTAAGCTGTAATCAGCACTTGTAATCACAGAGCAAGAAAAAATAAGCAGTGACAGCAGCACCTTCATGTTGAAAGCAAAGTCTTGTCCTGACATGTTATGGAGAATTAAGTGTTCAGTAGAAAGTGCGATGATTAGTCAGAGGCAGATATAATCATGACATGGTCTGGATCTGGGTTTTATACAGTTTATATCCACATGTGCTTGTTTTTCTTTAAAGCTTTGTCCTTTAGCAGCCCATTAACCACTCCAAATTTATCATTTTGAAATTATATATATATATATATGTATATTCATTTGACCAAATAAATGTACACACACTTTGGCAGTTCACCATACTAATTAATGTCTGGAAGCTAATGGCCACCAATTTGAGCATCTCTTATAACTGTAAAGGCCAAAGGTAACTTGTATTAATCTCATCATGTCTCAATAAATTTAGTATTAAAATATTCATTTGAGTTTTTTTCTGTGAAATACAATTTTGCAGTCCCTGTCTCTATCTATCTATCTATCTATCTATCTATCTATCTATCTATCTATCTATCATCTATCTATCATCTATCTGTCCGTCTGGCTCTCTATCTGTCATCTATCTATCTATCTACTGTCAAGAAAAGGAAAGTTGTTATTTTTTTGAGCATCAGTGACACACCATTTTTTGTTTGTGATTTTTTTGGTCTAAATAGCAGTATAAGTTACTTTTCACATATTACATGAAATAGGACAATCTCAGTGTCTCCAGGCTTAGCACTGCCTCTTCCTTGAGCCATAGTCCTGAGAGTTTTTCAATGCTAACCATGTCTGAAATTAGGAAATCAGAGATTTCTGGAAAGAGGTTATAGCCCCAGAAGTCTTGTTCTGGAGTCAGTCTACTCTAATTCTTTCAGTCCACGAATGGGGTTGAGGATGAGAGGAAAACACAAATTCCCCAGAACGCATGCAACGATTTCCAGGTATGTGCTTCTCCTCTGCTGGGGTTTCAGAGCTTTCTTCAGAGCCTCAGCAGGAGTGTTAAAGTTTACGGCTTGCTTAGACCATAGGAAGCAAAATAGAAGAAATAGTTCCCAGTAAACCACTTGGGTGTCTGCAATTTTGAGAGTGCCGAGATGAAAAGGGCTTGTAGCAGTTAAGCAGGAGTCTCTGGGGCAATTGCTGCTAATTTTTAGAAAGTCCCAGGAAAACCTGGCTGCTGGGGTTCTTCTGAGAGCCCTGAAATGAGCTCCCTTTCTCACCATCTCACATAAAGTGCTTGGATCTAGCCAGGTATATGAGGGAGGAGGCGGTCATGAGGTGGTAATACCTCACTCCCCTCTTCTCTGCTCAGTGTCCAGGCTGGGAGACCAGCTTCCTGTCTCTGTGAATCTCTTTCCAGCCCGGTGAAGGCTGAATTGCTGACTGAGCTAGGCTACTTCTGAAGTTCAGAGAGACTGGGACAGACCCAGACGTTGGGGCTTGGAACTTAGGAAAGAGATATTGGCCTAGAGGTCGGCATGAGACACGACTGCTTCCTCGCTGAGCAAGGAGAATAAAAAGGGCCAAGCATCTGAGATACAGCAGCCCCTTCCCCCAAGTCTTTTTGTTAAACAGAGTCAAGTCACCCTCTGCACCCAGCTGGGTTTCTGCCAGAGTTCTGGATGAGGGTGATTCTTGGTGTCACAGGGATTTCCTGAAAACATAAATAGGACGAGTGGTGGGCTTTATTGGTTGGCTGACGTTATGCATGCTGAAGAGCTGACTTTTCTAACATTCTTTTTATCAGGGACTTCACCAATTGCACATCTACTGAAAGATAAGCTGTACTTGGTTGTATCTCTCTAGCTCCTGACTAGATTTTCAGTTAAATTGAAAGCCATCTCTCCCACCTGACCGCCTCTGTCTTCGCTTTTGTTCCTGAAGTGGGAATTTGTGTCTCGTGAGTTATCTTCTTTTGTGCCTTTGCTGTTGGGCTTCTCTCTGGCAACTGTGTCTCTTGAAGCTCCTCTCCCTCTTCAATGCTGCCTTCTCCATGATGTCTTCTTAAATCCTCAGAGTCTTTGCTCAGGGTCTGAGACCCCTCCCTGTGCTTGTGATGCTCAGCTGTTCTAGTCTCCCTTGACTTATAGAGGACTATGTACCTCAGGAGAGAAATGTGAGAGCAGGGCTACCATCCTCTGCACCTTCATAGTGCCCATAACCATATCTTGTAAGCACTCACTGAAAGGCCTTGCTGTGTGATCACCAGGGACATTGATCACCAATCGGCTGCTTATTTCTCTTGTCTAATACAGATTACCTTAGCAAAGTTAGGTCAGGTTCACAACTATCATTTCTATAACCATTTCACAAAGAGCTTTGTGAGCCTGGTTCTCTCATTCTCCCTGAAGGGGTGGATTATCTCCATCTCATAGAGGAAGCTAAACCCTCAGCATGGATGCCCCACTCAAATCCCAGTCATTGTCTTCCAAAGCCACTGCCCTTTCCCACTTTGCTCTGAGATTTCTCATGGGAGGGGAAAGACCAGAGCTACTCTGATGCTCTGCACTTTCCTGGAGCCATGTGTGCCCCTGTGGTTCTCAGCCAAGCTGCATGGCCCCAGGAGGTCACCAGAGAGGAGTTGGGCACGTTGCTTGGCTCCTTTTTGCAGGAGCAGCATTCACATGTATCTTTGTCCCAGACTCCAGGTCCCTGTAGCTACTGTTCTCTGGCTGAGACAAGTGTCATGACCATTTGCTTAAAAAGATCACAGCCCTTGTTTGGATACCGTTCCCACCCTCAGCCTGCTTTGGGGCAGGAACCTGCTTTGATCTGTGTGCAGGCCTGGGAGGTTACGGCCTTAATTAATTCATGCATAACAATCTGACTTTCTCTTCCATTCAGAGAAAAGCATAATCATTTCAAAGCTTTCATAAGGTTGAATTCTTAAAAATCCAATTGAATCTTATTTTCATAGGTCTGCTCAGGGTGATCTCTGCATAGCACTGAAATAAAAAGATAATGAAAAATGTTTCTTTTCAATTACCAGAATTATTGCTATTGGAAGAGGAATTCTTGTCATCAGACAGGATTTTAGGAAAAAATATATAAGCAGTAGAAGACCATTGACAAACTCTTCATTAGAATCTAGTTTTTGTTATATGAATGCACCAGCCTACTAATCCACCCCATTCTATGGAAATGCCAGAAAATTGAAGAAAAATAAAAGCATGAGGGAGACCATGGATATGAAAGTGCTTTGTAAACAGCACTATGCTTTGTGAATGTGACACGTTATTATTGCTTGACTTCTGCAGTTCCCTTCCCCATGGTTAGAAATTATTAGACGTCCCCTGACTCCTGTCAGACTCCTTTTTAATGATCCTTAAGCCTTATTCCTAAAGGCAGGGCAGCGGTTCTGACAGAAAAAGTGCTTAATAATTTGTTTATGGTAAAATACTATCCTAATTAGTAGATCTCATTAATTTCAATAAGGCATCATTCCAGCCAGCGTCCCTTCTCCCCATAGTCAATCAGTCAGCAAATCCTGTTGAGTATCCCTATAAAATCTTTCTCTCACTGCTTGCATTGTTTCCACTCCTGCCGCTCAAAGCCGCACTCTCTCACCTCACACCTGGGTAGTGGCTACTCAAGCCCACATCCAAGTCACCCTCAATGGCAGCCAGAGGGGTCTCTTGGCATTAAACCGTGCTGTGTCACCCCAACTTCACGCCCTGCCATATGTGCTTATCATGGCCCAGAGGATCCTACGGGGCGCAGCCCTCTTCGCTCTCAATTTCTTGTCTGCCTCCCTGTCCCACACTGGCCTTATTAACCAACCCCTGAGAGACTCAAAGCCTCTCTCCCCCTGGCTTTTGCTGTTCCTTCTGTCTGAAATGGCATTTCCCCAGGTTTCAGTGTGGGGTGCTGCCTGAATCTGTGAAGTCAGAGCGCCAACGTTTCTTCTTCAAGGTGGCCTTCCCTGACCATTCCGCTCACAGTGCCTGCCGCTTACCCCAGCCTCCTCCGTCTTCCTTCATCCTAGTTTCTTTTAGTTCTCACTTTCCAGCATTTTTTGGTGTAGCCATTTATTATTCAACTTTTCCTTATCAAACATATATTCCACGAGGTCCAGCACTAGATCTATATTGTTCTCTACTATTTCTTCTAGTAGAGCATCAGGCATATATAGCACTCAAATTTATTTACTGAATAAATGAGCATTTACTAAGGGCAGAAACCACTGACTAAGGTAAAAGAAAGAAGAAATGATATGAAAATGTAATTTGTTTTATGTTGACACTCTAAAACAACAAGCTGGTTTGGTGACACATCTCTAGTCCCAATAATCTGTGAGGTTAAAACAGGAGGATTGCTAGTTTGAAACCAGCCCAGTCAACTAGTTAATTCAGTTACAGAATTAACTCAGCCTTGATAAAATTACAACATGTGCTATAGAGCCCTGTAGCTTTTGATAGGTCTTGCTTAAGTTAGCAAGAAGAGCTTATGATGCTTTAAATCTTCCATTCTCATTCAGATTTTACTGAAAGAAATAGAACATAATTATTTTTTAAAAGAAAATAATTGTATTTGGAGAAAATCCTGCTGCCCAATCAGAAAGGTTTAAGAGTATGCTTTTATTTCTTTCCTAAGTCTTATTCATTCATTCTGATGTGTATCACCTCATGATAGAGTACATTTATTATATAAGTATGTTTTGAGTACCTCCCTTGGGCCAGAACACTGTGGGAACCAGGCAGACAATATCCCTGTTCTGAGAAATGTTGTCTGACAATTTCTCCTCT